AAGACGAAGCTAAGAGGTAAAACTTTATTTTTTTGATAATGAATAGCCAATTGTCATTTTAAAGTATATTTGTAATATATTTGTAATGTTATGATTTAAACTTCTTTGATATTATAAGTAGTATTACATGTACTGCCAATTGAAAGGCCCAGAAATATAATTTGGAAGAGTTCTGACGATAAGAAATACATAATGATTATTTTTTCTGTATTAAATTCAAATTTCTGCTTCTAAAATTTCATGGACTTTAGTTGTGTGGAACTTTCTGCAGAGATTTATCAATAAAGGAAACTCATTTGACAAGAATCTGACACGTATCTGAAAAATGCTCTTTAATTTATTTTGCATAGAATGCATCTCAACATGCACTTTGGGACATAACCCATAATTTATAGCTAAATGGTCTGTTATTTATCAAGTTTTGTTCACGTGACTGAACTCAAAAATATGCATGTTAAAAATGACTTTTCCGATACTTGGATCGTTATTTCGATTTTTGTTCTGTAAACAGTGATTCGCTTAAGCTGACAAATTATATTGGTTCTATATACTAGTATATCTGTCAAAATTAGGGATGGGTAATTGTTAAAAGTAATTGTAATTGAGTGTAATTAATTATATTTTTCAAAGTAATTGGAAGTAATTTGTAATTGACCATTTTTTAATTACTTGTAACTGAATATAATTAATTACAATGAACAAAATACCCTGTAATTTCAATTACTTTTCAGTTACATTTCAATTACTTTACATAATACATATTATGTGTATTTAATAGGAAAATTTTTCCAACACAGTCACTTACATACAGTTAATTCAATTTATTCAAAAAAACTCTTCTGGTTTTTTTAAAATTTAAACTCTTTTATATCTCAATATATGAATTTGATATATTGGCTTGTTTATAAAAAATATTAGTTTGTTTTATAATTAAAATGCACATAAAGAATTAATACTAGTTTAATGTTTATCAAAAATTTTGTTCTACCTCTCAATGGTATAGGCATGAAACATTTCAATATTTTGTTGCTTAATTATCAAAAAAAAAAAAAAAAAAAAAAAAAAAAAAAAAGAATAGAAAATAATTTAATAAGTCATTAAGACCTGCCTTGTTGTCCTTCAACTCCCAGCTGTAAATTGCTATCAAAACAACCCTCCAAAATTTTACATAAATTTATACCATGCTTTTGTTTAAATTCAAAGTTATGACCATTAGAGGTGAGTTATTAAATACTATTAAGAATGCTCTACTATTTATATACTTGTACTTCAGAAAAGAAATAAATATTGAATCACTATTTTGACAATTAAACAGATCTTTATATACATGTATGCATTTGATATCTGAATTAGTTATTACAGTGTACATTAAAAACAAATATTATTTGTAAACATTTGAAACTAAAGGTGTTTAGCTTGCCTTCCTGTAGCTGAAATAATTTTAGAGTATTTTATGGTTGATTCATAAACTCTTGAAAACTTGCTTTTCATCAAATTTCATAAAGGCATTCAATTAATTGATAAATGTACACAATGTAGGACTAGGTCTTGTGTTGATGAAACACACAAACATGACAGGCACCTGACCGTATTTATTTTAAATATTCCCAATACCTTAAATTTATATGTATTTGTTCTTCAAGATTTTTGAAAATGAAATAAAAGTAATTGAAATGTATTTAGTTACATTCTTCAAAGTAATTGAGAGTAATTAATTACATTTGTAAAAATCAATATAATTGTAATTGCAAGTAACTGACAAAATTTTCAATGTATTTGAAAGTATTTAATTACATTTCAGAGTAATTGACACCAACCCTGGTCAAAGTAAAGAAGTAAAAGTATAACCTTTTTTAAACTACTTTTTTCTATCATAATATGGAAAAATTATTAACCATATCACTTTAAATGTATAAAATAATATGTGTTAAATCTTACAAAAAATATATATGCAAGAAAGGTCTTGCATGCATGTAAATAAGCAATTTGTGTCTAAATCTGGATGTTAATGAAGAAAAATGTTTGTCTTAGCTTGAAAACTATCCAGGTCATTTCGGCAGTTAGCCAACGTGAAATAAAGTTATTTGAGCAAAGGCAGAGTTAGGATAGATGTTGATAAATCTTGAACATTCTAGTTTGTGCTTTATGATTGCTAATTTTGACAACAGGCTCCGGGGCCATAAAACTTAGACGAGCTCACTTTTGATCTCAGTCTCACTTTTACATAAGGAATTGATGGTGGAAATGTGAGACCGAGATCAAAAGTGAGCTCATCTAGGTTTTATGGCCCCGGAGCCTGATTACTTTGTTTACTCTATCAATATATTTTCTTTAAACAGTTGGAGCCCCCCCCCCACTTCCGACCCCCCCTAGTATACGCTGGCCTACAAAAAGTGATAATCAAGAAGACTGAATACAACATACTTTAACATCGAGTCTCGTCCAATTTCGCAGTCAAACTCTTCAAAATTATCCATGTCACCTTTTACCTTCAGGTATGTTTGAGGCACCTTTGTTTACTTTTAATAATTTGTTTCTGTTTAATCGCGTTTTTCATTTAAACCAATGAAAGTGTGACATTTCAATCCGAGGGAAAATAATACACAACACTCATTTTTCAACTACTCAGTCAATATTAACACCAGCTTGAGATCTTAACAGTACGTTTATGTAAAGTTCTGAATTCTTACGAAAAATTTCAAAACTTCACAAAATATTCATGAATAGAGATTGTAAGACAAAAGAAATTATTAAGAAGTACTTCAAGCACCGAAAAATACAAATTTTTATGTGCGTAAAAGAGTTCGTATATAATATGGTTTTTGTAAGATTAGTACTCCACAATATTTTATGCTGATGAATAAATTAAAAACTTATACAACAAATGAAACAAGACTAACATTGCTCATTTCGGTACAGAACTGGGATCACGCCCCTGAAAAATGCATAATTCCTATTGTGAATTTAGTTAATATGACAATGGACGAAAAAAAAAAACTAGGGAAACCAAAGTACACGTAATGTGCACGTAAAACATTTGAGAGAGGCAGATACAACAAGTGAAATTTGTCTTTTATTATTGCTTCAGTGATGAACAATAAATAGAATTCTAGGTGCAGAAATTTAGGTGCAGATAGGGGTATGCTTAGTATAGTATTATTTTCCTTACTATAGTATTATTAGATCCTGTATATCATATATATATTATATTATATTATATTATATTAACGTTGCATTATAATCATTTTTATTCTACCTCTTATAATTCATTTTGCGAGAGAAAACCTACATCATGATCATATACTCATTTTGCAGATTTTAGTTGGTAAAATAAAATATGTCAGATAGGGCACATGACTGTGATGATATCAAAAGAGGATTTTGCATGTTAAATTCACATTTCCGTGAATGTTTCTTCTGGATTATTAGATATTTCATATGAAAATAGTAACATGATGCTTTTTACTAGCAAGAAAAAGGTCTTTTCAAGGAAAACATTTAAATAAAAAAAGGAGTTTAATATCTTCAATATTTTCATCAAACTCGTATGCATTCGATTTATGTCAGTAAAAGAAATATAAGGCACTGTGTCATGGAATTGATTGTTTGCCTTCTTATTTACATCTTAAATGAGAAAATAAATTTCAGAAAAGTTAAATATATTTCAAATAATTTACCTAATGAAGTGTTAATTACATAATCTTGGTAATATATGCATGATTTATGCACTTTAAGTTTAAATCTGAAATTTAAGACAAAATCTGAGTATTTTATTTTCGTGTGCAGGAAATCTAGTTTGCAAACTAAAAAACGGAATCGATTGCAATTTTCTTATCTTTTTTGAAATTTTCATATTTATATTCCCCGTTTGAAATGCGGAGAGTGTAAAGTGATGGGCTGTCCATCCGTCTGTCCGTTTAGCTGTCCAATCAAAACATAGAGTAGGAGGTCACAATGGCACTATGTAATAAAGATTTTATGAAAGTATCATTAAATTTTATTCAGTGGTATAGGAGGAGTTATGGATAAGAAACGGGTACCCTCTATATCATAGAAAAAATGGCAGTGTCTATGTTCTACTATAGGACACCTGAGGTGAACAATGGCACTGTGTGATAAAGATTCTGTGAAAGTATCATTAGATTTTATTCAGTGGTATAGGAGGAGTTGCAGTTAAGAAGCTAATTTTATAAGAATGACAGTGTCCATGTTTTGCTTTGTGAGACCCCAAATAATTAAGTGTCTGATCAAAAAGTAAAATAGGAGGTGTACAATTACACTATGTAACAAAGATTCTGTGAAAGCCTCATTAATTTTTTTTCAGTGGTATAAGAGGAGTTGCAGATAAGCGATGGGTAACCCAAAGTGTAGCGGACAACCGTACAGATATTTGGGCTTTCCCTTAGCAAAATAAAAAAAAAGAAAGCAAAAGAAAAGAATTTGCCATTATAATAATAAGGGAGGTGAGGGATGTCATTTTGTGAGCTTGGGTCTCACAGTACCTCTAGCATTCATCGGATTGTTTTAGTTTTCTAACGCAAATTAACTAGATACACTTGCAATTTTTTTCCAAATGAAGAATCAGAGTATAGTGTTTATGATACATGTTTGTTCTTTACCGAAGAAATGTGCTTGTGGGGTTTGTGGGATTATAAACCGTCAGGAGAGAATCGGCTAAGTAATAATACAAACGCTTAAAATTGCTCTAAATTAGGTGAAAGATAAATGGGCGGTTCTTTTGAAAGCAGGTTTTATGCTCCAATAACTCAAAGTTCGTCATATTTCTAGAACTAAATGTGATTTGTTTTTCACCAATGGAAAAATTGCTGGGAGAATTTATATTAACATATTGCATAATGTAATATGCATACCATTTATACTTAATTATAAATGAATAAAACCAATGAAATCTTTCTTTAAGTTTTAACATAACATAATCAATACATACAGTTTAAAGTGTTCAAGATCGAGACAGTAAGCAAATAAATGCAAGCATTGAAACAGATGGAGCAGCACTATAAAGAAGGAATTATAGAAGAAAACACAAAGAATACTAAATATAAACCAATTGTATCTACAACATACAATGAAATGGAAGAGAGAAGTAATGTAAGTATTATTATTATCATCATTATTATTGATTAAAATTGCAAAAATAAAAAAAAAAATACGAGATTAAACTTCAAATTTCAAGATTGCTTCTCTCTCTCTCTCGCTCTCTCTCTCTCTCTCTCTTCTCATTAAAGCAATATGAGCTGCATTTTTGAGAATTTTATTTTGCTGTTAAAATGTGCTGTTATGATAAATCTGTATGTAATTTAAACTTTTTTGATCAATTAGACTAAAATAAAGTATTAAATTTTTTTTTCAAAAGAAAGATTTCTGTACAATGGAAAGGTATTATATAAGAAATCAATATTGTACAGGACGACAATAATGTAATTTTGCCTCAATAAAAGCTTATTGATAGTTCTTCCATCGCAAAATATGAACAACAGAAGTTTATAAATATCCTTTTTTTTCTGTCATTGAAATTGTTAATTACAATTTTGCCACAAAAATTTCCGACATCAAAGTTTCAGCTCATATTGCTTTAAGTTAAATAATAATAAGGTAAGTGTATTTTTAGGCTAGCTCTATTTACATACCTCAACGATTGATTAAAATTAGTCTTTCCGTAAAACTAAGGATAAGTGAAGAAACAGAAAGAAGATAAACGATATCTTCTTATTTCCTTAAAATTTGGCTTGCTCAAGGTCAGAAAACTAATTAACAAATGTGTTTTATGTACCATTGGTCATGTGCTTAAGATAATATTAAGATATATATATATATATATATATATATATATATATATATCTATATCTATATATCTATATATATATATATATATATATATATATATATATATATATATATATATATATATATATATATATATATATATATATATATATAAGATAATATTAATACGAATCAAAACAAAAGTGACTAAGATTATATAAATACGAATCAGAACAAAAGATAAATTTATTGTGTGAATATTGTCATTTATTATGTTTTCATTGTCATTTGTTATATGGCAATTAAAATCAGATATAGGGGGGATCCAGACAATGTGCTGATAAATAGATTCCTATCGTTGACATTGTGGTCTTCTTTGTATCATTAGTAAGTTCAAAAACCTTTACAAAATAAAATACAAAATATACCCCTCGCCCCCCCCCCCCCCCCCAAGAAGAATACGCATAATTATTGTATAATTGTACAACGAAACATCAAAGTCAAACAGCCTGTTTGATATATATTTACCGTGCCTTTAAACTTCCACAAGAAAATATGAAGGAAAAGAAAAATTAAATAATTTCAGTTTCTTTACAAATGTGACTTGCCCTGTAAAGTGTAATAAAAACATGAAGGTTTTCTTGGTGGGTTTTTAAAATCTATGTATAAATATCAAATATAATTTAATTCTATTCATTGATCTAAATTTGATTACTGCCTTTTATTATTTTTTTAATTTATTAATTTTCAATCCAAAGTTGAAAATTATTACATGACATGACATATTAATCATTTTAAACTTCAGATTGAAAATTAATTAAAGACATTACTTACGTATTTTAGTGACAGGTAACAATTAAAATATCTAAAAATGAAAACTTTTACTTACAAACTGTTCGGCGAAGTTCTATTAAAAGTGTCCATAAAAAAAGCATTTTAAAAAAAATCATGATAAACGGTCTTCAATAGCAGTTTTCACTTTTTTCAGATTTTTGTTATAATTGCGATTTTTCTGCGGAAAAAAAAATTAATGATGGAAGTATTACTATTGTTTGATTATTTGCGTTTTCACTTGAAACTTTTTTTAAAAAAAATATTTCTTATGTCTTATCACATTAATTAAGAAAAATTACGTTGGTACTTCACACTTTTCAAACTGCAAATGGCTCAATTATAAATACCAGGATGCAAAAGATTTTAGGATCCAAAGGGAATTCGACTGAGTACCCAATTTACATTTGTTACATAAGAGTAGACAGAGAACAGATCCAATGTATTTACTTTAAGAAGATCAGTTAGAACCTGATATCTATGCTTCTTTTCCGAATCTGATATTTGAGAAGTCTAAAATCTATCTTTGGGTTGATTTGTCACTAGTTAGTACAGATGATGTGCACCGTACAGAAAATATCATTCACATTTTTCCTGCGGGTGCCAAACAATTTTATTGATTTTAAAAAAATCATTCAATGTAATTGAAACAATGAAAATCAAATAACTTTACTTGCTAATTGAATTTATGATATATTCAACATTCATACTACACAATAAACTTCTCTGCTATCTTAGTAAGACTTTTGATGAATATACTTGTATTCTAAGACAAAGATACAGGGAGAAACAGCTGAAATGTTAGCCATAAGTTATAACGAGACTAATACCAGCCATTTCCAGCAACTGAAAAAAGATTCAGCTGATGTAGAATCAACATTTTCAGCGTTGATTGAGGATTCGCCGATAGATTTCCAGGATCTTCATGACTTCCCCCTATCTGAAGAATTACGTCTTGCTATGACGAACATGGAGGGCATTGATGCCGTAAGAATACAAAATGGTTATCAGAAAAACAAATGCCTTTTTAAAAAAAAAAAAATAAATATCGATGATTATTAGAGCCAAAAGAGGAGGGACAGTTCCCTAATTTCCCAGTCAAATCATCCAAATTAACTTAGGACATCTGCTTAGAATTTCACAATTTCTTTAAGATCTATTAGATGCAACTTGTTTAAAGGAATCTTCGCTTATATGAGAGAAAATGCCAAAATAGATTAACCTGTGTACTATTTATGGTTGTTTGTCTGCAAGAATATTTAAAATAGTTGAGAACGTTACATAAAGGAAATGGTACATCTTTTAGAAAAATTTACTTTCATATTGATTGAATCTAGTGAGAATGCAAATGTTAGTTTTTAAAAAAAATTTTTTACCTTGCCAAAAAATCCTGTTAAAGTTGAAAGTTTAGCTTCATTCGTTTAATACTGCATTGTACACGACCACACTACAACATTTACCAAAAAAGATAACTCAAGTCATTTCAAAATTAGAAAAATGCAAGATTTTCAGAGTATGCGCTCTTGAGGTCCTATCTACGTATAATGTGTTCCCCCTCTAATCAGGTGCATTTTAGATGACTCATTGAAATGTAAATAAAACATATTACTCTTTAGATATACTTTTTGAGTCCATGTTTCATATCAAATCACAAGGATTTTTTATCTTAATTCAGGTAGATGTTTTGGTAGGAGATGTCCTCCATTCAAATTCAACTTGCAATACCAATCAGGAGTTTGTACCCAACTCAACTGTAAGTCTACTTTCTAAATCTAAAAAAATGCTTGAGATCCTTATTGACAATATCTTTGTAGTCTTTAGAGACAAGGTATTCCAACAATCTGTTGTTATTCAAATAGGTGTTTATTGTGCTACTTTATTACCCATCTGTTATATATATTTAGTCTGAAAAAAATATTCTTTAAACACTGGATTTTTCAAAACCACACTTCAACATTAACGAAAGAAAGACAACTCAAGTATATATAAAAAGATTTCCTGAGGGAAATATAGTCATTTCAAAATTAGGAAAAAGCAAGACTTTTAGAGTATGCGCTATTTGGATCCCACTTAATTATCATGCCCCCCTCCCCCCCCCCTCTGCATGACATCTCAGAAATAAAGATAAAACATCCAAATCACAAAGGTTCTTCATCTTAATTCAGGTAGATGCTTTGGTCGGTGATGTCCTCTATGCAGATTCAACTTGCGACACCAATCAGGAAATGAATGAGCAGTTTATGTCCAGTTCAGTGGTAAAACTATTTTCTAAATCTCAATTTCAAAAAAGATGTTTGAGTTCCTCATTGACAATATCTTTGTAGTCATTGGAGACAAGGTCCTTCAACAGTCTATTGGAAATCCTGTGGGCACTTATTATGCTCCTTTATTATCCGACCTGTTTTATATATTTATAATGCAGAATTTATTCAAAACTTCTACATCAAAAGAAAAATCTTACTGTTGCTTTTAATTCGACACTGAGATGTATCAATGTTTTGTCAGATAAGAATAACTTTCATTTACATATCGATTCGATATATCACAGTGAACCCGAAATTAAAGGCACACAACAGCATGCTGTGAGTAAAATCAATTCTTTTTTTTCATCCAAGGCAAGCTACTGACAAATAAGTTGATGATGCAGTGACTTCATCATTTCGAAAATGTTATGGTCGTTATAATTATCTTGTGTACAAATACATATATCTTTGGATCATATTTTGACTGACTTTTTAAATCAATTGTTAGGCAATTGTTTTAACACTGGATAAGACTACGAATAATCCGCTTACATGATCAATATAGAGGACTTTCTGTCAACGAGGGATGCTGACTCCTCCTAGGTTTCAAGCCGCCTGTGTTTTATGCCCTATTCACAATTTGTATTGTTTAAAAGATTCATTTGATTGATTTCTGTTCATTTTCTCCATCTTTTTCATTTTTAGATCAACTGCTAATTATGTCTGAATAATGGCAAATATGATGGATGGATGTAGACAGACAGACAGACAGACAGACAGATAGATAGATAGATAGATAGATAGATAGATAGATAGATAGATAGATAGATAGATAGATAGATAGATATGCTGTATTTCAGAATGATGGAGACGGTGCGAAATGTGTTAATCCGCTGTGTAGTGAGACAAATATAGTTTCTGACTTACAGGAGAAGGACAGGTTAAAAAAAGACAATCATAATATCGGTAAGATTTTTTTTTACACCATTTAATAAGAAAAAGGGAAAAAGAAAATAATTTTTGAAAAATTCTGGAGATTAATATTTTTGTTATACCTTTAAAAATTGTTTCCTATAAATCTTAACTTAAAGAAAGTTTAACATTTCGAATGTTTTACTGAATGGTCATATAAAAATCGATGTTTGACCGCAGAGTGAGATATTTGACATGTAAGATATGATGAGATATTGGACCGCTTACGTGACATTGTGGGCGTGATCAGATAAATCTTATTTGCATCTGTTGGTGTTCGACACTGACGGAATTTACAGAGTTTATCTGCAGTGCGGGTAAAGGAAATTTACATCATGGAAGTCAGCACAAGATACATGTATGTCAAAAAGGTATAACAAAACATCTATTGACAAGTTCTTGGACAAAATACCTTTTGTTAGAACCCTCGAACCAAACTGTTAGCTTTCGGCCTAACGGCCTCAGACAAACAGTTTGGTTCTTGGGTCCAACAAAACGCATTTTGCCCTCGATCCCCAGTCAATAAATGTATAATATACAATGTAGAGAATTAAAAGAATAAATAAAAAGATTTTGATACACTTTTATTTTAAGTTGAGCGAAGACGGCGATACAATATCAACGACAGGATAAAAGAATTGGGTTCTTTATTACCAACATCAATACCACAGTAATTATTTTAATATCTTTTAGAGGAAGAAAGTATTTCAATTTGCATATTGTAGAAAGGGAAAAAAACCCTACAAAAACGGTTAGTGAAATCTTTTAAATGAACAATTCGCTCTCAAGTCTGCATGTCATTCTTTAATGCAGTTTTTATTCTATCTTTTGGGGGGGGGGGAGAGGGGGTGTCATTTTTGTTTAAGGGGAGGGGGTATTTTTTCTTTCTTAAAAATTAAATTATCAAAGAAAAGTTAACTCAGATACGAATATCTTTACAAAAGTACAGCAAGACTTGATTATAAGGAAGTTAATTACTGGAACTTCAAATTTTACCTCTTTTTTAACTGAGATTTTTATAGTGAAAAGTCCCCTAGGGAATTTGTAAAATATTCCTAATTACCGATATTTCCTAAAAAGCGAGTTTTACTGTACTACTACATGTACCTTTAATTTTTATTCAGATCAATGAAACTCAACAAAGGTTCCATATTGAGAGCATCAGTGGAATACGTGAAGGAGCTTAAGAAAGACAAGGAAAAGTTGACAAGATGTGAAGCTAAACAGAAAGTAATGGAAACAAAATATCAGAAATTGCTGATTAGAAAGTTTGTAAGATTTTCTTTACTACAGACAAATCAAAAATATAATAAATAAAGGACTAATCAAATATCAGTGATTTCATGTAGATAATATTAAAAAAAAATGCAAGATTATAATTTTATAAGCACAAAAACATTGATTGCTTAGGCAAAAAAGTGAATTCTTACAGACATACATATTTAACATGCATTCACGTATTTCTTAATCAAAATCAATTGAGTTATTAAAGTTATTAAAAAATATTAACTTTTCATCTTAGCAAGTCGAGTTGAAAATGAAATTGCACGGATTTACGGAGGAATTAGATTGTATACACGGAACGAAAAATAAGAAACCAAGAAAGAGATTCGAGGAAGTCGACGAAATAGTAGAAAGTTTGATAAAGCAAAGTCTACGTCTTAAATCAAAGACAATTTGGTGTGCAACCAACTCTCCTTTTAAAAGACAAGCAAAACCAAAACTATATTGCAACAACAGAAATACAAAGAATCCAAAAGCAGACTTAGAAAAGTTTATCACAAAGAAATTATATAAGGAAACTCTCTCTGATTACCAGTCGAATTTCATAAAGGATAAATCGAATCAGAATCGACACATACTGTCCTCAGAGCAGGGGAATGCTGATAATACCAATGACCTTGTCTTACCACAAAATGCAGGTAACGTTTCAGCTACATCAATGATGGAAGCGGGTTCTTTACCCCTGATTCCTTCTAGCTATGAGTTAAGCATTAAACAGTCCAATATTTTGCTGGATCTGCTCGGACGCCAGAAAATCGGAATTGTTCAACACGAGCCTTCCCGATTCTCCACTTCTAGACATCATTTGAGTCGCAATGGAAAAGCTACATGCACATCTCCAATCAAAGGTTCTACCAGCATGCTAGAAACATTACTTAAGAAGTCTGAAAAAACTCCCTCTGTGGCAAATTCGATAGAAATGTCCACTGGGGAGACAAATTAATTTCAGTTTTCATTATTTGATTTTTTTTTTTTATCGTCTGCTTTGCAATATGTGTTCTCTTTCTAAATCGTTTTTAATTGAAGTATAACTGGATTTTTTTAGCTGGAGGAAGGGTTAATTTGTTATCAATTGTACAATACTGAAAAGCCATTATGTGCAATTCTTAAACAATGTTATTTTACTGCACAGAATAAAATGATAGTATTGACTTCCATGCCTTAACATAAATTATAAGATATAATCGAAAAGATTGTTAAGATTTGGTTATTTTTGTTGGCTAAAATATAAATTAAGTACAACAAGGGAAAGTCTCTAGACGCTTTGATTTTATAAAGTGTGCCTTTTTTCATGGAAAGGAAAATATATTTTTAATTGCAAATTATATGACAATATTCAAACATCAACTTGGGGGGGGGGGGGGGTTCTACGAGGATGAATGATTGCGACATTGCAGAAGCAGGGTTTTACTTTTCTCTGCAATGATGCAAACATTCATCTCATGTTTTAAAAAAGAAATACATATCTTTTTTTATATCTTATTCAAAAACTTCTACATGAGAAGAAAAAAAAAAACACTTGCTGTGGCCTTCAACTCGACATTTCGAGATATCGACGACTCGATATATCCCAGTGAGCTTGAAATAAAAGATATCACAGAGTCTGACACATCTGTTTCATATTAAGATATTTTACTTGTCAGCACATAAAACCTATAATTGAGTCAAATGCTGACTTACGTTTTCCATACTAATTGTTAGGCCATTATTTATACACTGAATTGTCTACGGATTTTTCCGGGTTTTTTTTCGATCATGACAAGGAGCTCACGACTGGTGTAACCTATCGGCAGAGGATGCTCACTCCTCCATGGCACCTGATCCCACCTTTAAATTTTGAGGTCCGTGCTTGCTCTGCTCCAAACTTGTATCGTTTTAAATCTTTTTACCATAAATGTTTTAGAACCGCGTTATCTGTTTTCCTTTACTTGCATTATCTACATTTATAGTTTTAAATTGACTGAAACTCTAATTATCATGTAAATAGTAGTATCAGAGCCGTTTCCGCATTTAATTTCCAAAGGTGCATTTTATTTGTAAAAGTTTACTTCATCAATCCGATATATTTTTCTTCTAGTACACTTCATTATGTAACCATATCATTCCGTAATTCTGATGGAATTAAAAAAAACAGGTGTAGGGTGTGTGTTTTTACTATAATTTTTTAAGAATGTAGATGTTCTCTCTAACCATATTATTAAAGATTATCCGTTTTTCATTCTGATGTTGAACATGTATGATGTTACTGATGAAGTTTGATTTTTTTTTTTTTTTTTTTTTTTTTTTTTTGCAATTTAAATTTTAACAGTTGTATAACCTTTTTTACAAGCAAAACGTGACGAGTCGTTAAAATCGCATTAATGATGATAATTTTTGAAAGTAAATAGAAATTGCATATCATTTGATGTGTACTGTGTTCATATCTACAATAATTTCTTTTGTGGCCAGAAAAAAACCATATTCAATTAACGTTATATTCTCGCAATAAAGGTGAATTAAATAGGGCAAAATGTTAATTGGTACAAGTTTCTAAATTACATACAATCAGATAAATATTTTTCTCACATTTAAGCTGACAACGAAAGACATTTTACGAAATATTAATGTAAATGAATGGTTATATAAACGTCCTTCAAGCTTAACAGAGTGAAGGTCTCAGCTGACCGAGACATGACAACTCATATTATCAAGGAAAATGTAATTGTCAAAAGTTTTGATCAAAATTTAACTGAAACAAATTCCAGTAGATTTTTCTCATAATTCAACAGATGTCCATGAAACATTCCTTTGGCATGGAGAATGATTTTAATTCATTAATTCATTTAAAATCGCAGATTATAATTGCTCTTATTCATTTTCATCAGAATCCCTATGAATACTAGTGTACTGCATACAGGGTCATTTTCGCCTTTTCACACTTGAAAACAATTTCCTTCATTTTTAGTTCGCCCCAGCACTGTTGTAATTAAAAGACAATGCTGTTTTCTTTGAATTCGCCCCGTTTTACACTCGCCTACTGGCGACTAGGACGAAAGGGGCCAAAAATGAAACGGAGGCAAAAATTTCCCAGAATACAATTGTAGGTAAACTGAAACAGACGTCTCTCTGGAAATACCGCTGCTTTTGACTTCAACATGAAGGAGTTAAAATTATTAGTCGGGTTATACTCATACATGTAACTGGTCCCCAAAAATACCAACAAATCGAGCAGATATGGGTATGAAATATTTTTATTAGGGAAAAAAAATTAATTTCTCTCTAAAATATTATTCAAAATACATTCTGAAGTAAGAAAACATATGTTTTTCTTCTTTTTTTTTACCTTCTTTACACTTCTTGAAGACTATGTAAATTTCTATCTTATTCATAAGGTATTTTTTGGAACTATTCACTGGCATTTCAACCATTTGGAAATTACTTTCGATTATATCCTTTGAAATGTTGAGAGAGACGGTCTTAAATGCTTATTTGATGAAATAATGGAGCTCAGATGAAGGATGAACGACTTTTGGTAAAAAAAAAAAAAAGCCACGAAATGTGGCTAAGAAAAATTATTCCTTGTAAAAAAAAAATGTTTTTTTTTTATTCCTATTTATTTCCTGAATATTTTAACAAATACTTTATGTCCATTAAAATATAGATTTTAAACGTTTGTTTGCTGAAATGGAAATTAAATTCATTATTGTATAATTTCTTTGTTATTTTCTTGGTTTTTGGGAGGGAGAAAATTGTATCATCTGCCCTTTACTTTTTTTGGTAAGAAATTATTAAATAAGTCGAATTTAAAGTTACATAATGAGTCAAAATTATGTGTTTCTTTTAAGAAAGTTGTATCACAAAGCAAACGATTTATGTGAAATATGAATATGAAGTTTTGGCAACTCAACTGCACTGTAAAGCAAGAAAAAAGCTGCAAAATGTAAGTGCCGGAAAAACAAATGTTGTATCTATCGCTTTGTTTTTATCGTCAATGTCCACAATGTCAAGGTCAAGCGTCCTTTATTTTTAGCCTGAAACTTTATAACATTAAATTGGAGCAAGCAGAAGTGAGAAATAAGTTTCTTTTTTGGAAGATTGCATAAAAATTCTCGGTCATCCGACATTTATATCTATGGAATTGAAACCATGGTAAATTCTTCAACTTTTCAGCGCATGCGTACAATAAAGAGGAAGAAGTGAAGCAATATTTTTGTGTTGGTTTATACAAAGATTTTTTTACTTCAATTTTTCTCCATTAAAGTAGATTTTTTAGAATCTGAAACCTGTATTTTCTGAAACCTAATACTTTCAAGAACTGAACAAAATTTGCATGTGTCATGCATAAATTCTACTTTTGTCGATTTTCGCGTTTTTCCGTCACGGTGTCACTTTAAGTGATTTTTTTTTTCATTTCAGCAGCCGTTTTTGGCTTTGTAAGTACGAATTCTTGTATACTAGTTAGCTGCAACTAGGTTTAATTACATTTACACTAATTACGATAATGCAAATAATGCGGGTGTTGAAATAATTTTCAAAACTCTTTGACAATGGAAATATTCCTATCAAAAAGCTTTAAAAACTTCAATATCAAGAAAAAACTTGTTCTAAAAGTTCATATCATAGCAGGTTTACAACAGCAAATTATTACTATAGAGCAAACATTAACCACAAAATTATTTATCCTCCACGGGCTTTAAAAACTGATGAAAAATGACATTCTGACTCAAAGAGAAACAAAGTACTCTTTTTGAAAAATTAAAAGAACAATCAAATAATCCATTGGTATAATGCTTATATTTAATATTAAACACAGGCAGCTACCCGAATTTTAAGAAGATAGCATTTAAATACTTAAAGGCAGAGAATTTAAGCACCGCCTTCAAAAATACATGGTCTTTGTACCCCTGTCAATCAAGTGCATTAAGGTACATCACTAGATGCTAGAACCTGATTGACATTTACTTGCTAGCCCCTGTGTATACCCTTACACTTGTTTGGCACTCATGGTGACCTTCAAATTAACTTTTGATCCTTTGATATTTACCACACATGGTATATACAATAGAGAAGCTGTATTACCATGATTGCTTTGGAATTTTTAGCTTGATGATATATATACACACACACACACCTTTAGTATGTGAAATAATTATGATATTCTTTATGATAATATATATCAAAATTTGGTATAATTTTTTGTCAAAGCTCAAGAAATACTTTAAATAATAATTTTTTTAATGGGTGTGCTTTGAGACACATTCAATTATAAATTAATAAAAATTATTTAGATTAAATTTATTTACAACTTTCTATTTCTAATTTAAAATCATCTCAGAATCCCACCACAGGTAAAGTTTGACTTTTTGGGTACTCTATTGTGTATTAAATCACTTCCTGTGTATAGGGATTAGGAGACAAACGACCACAGGTAGACTGCTAGCCCTCAAGGCATTCACAAAATACAAAATAAGTACAAAATTAGCCCCTCCCTCACCTGGAATTTACCACCCGGTAAAAAATCTCTGCCTTTAAACGTAAACAATTGAATATTCCTTTCATCACAGAAATTTTTTAATTTCTTTGACTTAATCTAATGAACACAGGCTTTTAAAAAAAATCTATCAACTAATTATTGGAAAAAGATTTGATCTGCTATCGACATATGTACACTAAAATATAGGATCCAATCATCTTCATAAGGACCATATTTGGGATGCAAACAAGAAACACGTGCAAGGCACCACTTTAAATGGAATTTTCATGTGAAGGGGGAGGGGGTAATATGAAAAGCAAAATTTTGTACGTATCTATTGTATATGAACAAAATAAATTATTATAATCAATGCTTATAATTCATTGTAAGTGACATATATGCTACTTTTCATCCGGTCATTTTCTACGAGGGTCATTATTCGTCTTTACGAAGCATGTTTATAGCACATGTGGCTTTTAGTTTCCATAAGTGAAGGTTCGATTCGTTTCTCGATAAAAAAAAAATATTTTTCATTCGTATAATGCCAACATTTATTATGAGTTAAAGCATATGATCATTAATTGTCAGTGGGGAGATTAAATGTAACTTTTACTATTTGTTCGTTTTGTAGGAGGTTACTTCTTGAAACATTCGAATATATCATAACCTGTCAATTCGACAA